GCTTATAAGCATTCCTTGTTGTCTTGAAATTCATATAGTTGCCTTGGACCAAGAAATGTCTAATTGCATAAGCACTTCCTTCCTTGAACAATGACTCAAACCTTGGAACCTGGCTTTTCCCAATCGTTGCACGTATTCTTGTTCCATGTATAGACGAATGTTCAGTTCATACATTCACAACATCTATTAGAATTCAAACTGAAACTGAAAAAGTTAACCACAGAGTCATGGAAAATGCAGTGCAAGGATTCACCATGAATCCCATAGACTGGGGCTGCATACACCTGAACAACCCTTACTTTGACGGTCTAAGAAGTTTTTTCTTGATCCAACTCATTTATTAAAGATCACATGCCAACCATTTTGAGCAATAAACTGTTTAGAAATGAACTCAGGGAGGGGATAGTAAAAAGTGATGGGTAGCATGGGTATTTATAGGAAACTCACATTGTCTATTCACCATACAAAAAAATATTCATTGTATTAATTTTCTCTAATATTATCATTTTATTAGAGCAATAAAGCATCTAACAAAATAGGGTACAAATTGTAATGATATAATTTTGGGGTTATTTCAGAAAAAGTGGTATGCCCATCAGTAGAAAAGGGATGGAGATGTCTATTCCATCAAGAAACAGTACACTTGAAGAGACATGTTAAAGCAATTGTTAGCTTTATTATCAGTATTTTTACGGCTCAACTGTTCACTGTATTGATAAATTCATATTGCCCAGTTTTACCCTTCACAATTTAACCTTCACAGGGGCATTTACGCAATTACATTTGTAATTTTACGGACAGATTGTTCATTGTAATCATACATTCATATTGGACAATATTACCCTTCACCATTTAACCATGATAGGGATATTCACGTAATTTCCAGCAACCAGAGTATATTAGGCGGGAACACTGTTGAAAAAATAGTGCCAAAAGACTTTGCTTTTATATAATGATAGATTTGTGAAACACCGGATATTCTTATAAATATTTTTCAATCACCCTTTTTATTAAAAATCTGGAGAAAAATTTGGTCAATGGGGAAATCTAAACAAAGACTTTTTTGCTTCAAAATCTTACATATGTAATATTGGTGTCACAAAAGATTATAATAAGTTATTCAGTTCAATATTTGTTTTCATAATCAGAACACAATTGAAATGTTATACTCCATAGCATATTATAAAAAAGTAATTGGAGTTTTTTTTTGCAAAAAATTGAGGTTTGAAAATGTTTGTCACATGTTATGAAACTATTAGCTGGAGAGTGAATTTATGAAAATAACAAAATACATATTGTTAGAGGTAGGGTTGGATTCGGTTCGGGCCACCCGGCCCGTGACCCGGCCCGGCCCGGTACTGTACGGGCCTGGGACCGGCCCGGTCGGGCGGTCCGGGACCGGGTATGGACCCGAACCGGTGGGAAGGGGCGGGGCGGGCTCGGTGCTGGATTAATGTGACCCGGCCCGGCCGGGTCGGGCCTGAGCCCGGGTCCGGTCTAATTTAAAAAAAAAATTGTTTGGGCTCTTGGGCTACTAGCCGTTGGGGGTGGGGCTGGGGACAACCCAAACGGCTATATAGCCGTTGGGTGGGGTAAAGGGGGGGGGGGGGTCCGGGGGGTTGGCTGGTGGGGGGTGGGGGGTAAGAAAACCTATAAATACTCCTAATCTTAAACATTTTTTCATATCTCTTCTCCAATTCTTCCTAAATCCTATTCTTAACTCTCTACTCTCTAATTCTCTTATTCTCCATTCTCCAATATATTATATTTATTATTTATAGTTTATATTAATTATCTACTTATATAAACTATAAATAGATATAAATAGTATTATATTACTTATATTTGTTATCTAATTATATATTACTTATATATTTATTATATCTATTAATATAGTTGGAATTATATCTAATTAATTTGAAGTCATTCTATTACTCCCATCCGAAAGATGGATCGTCCTAGATATTCGGTTGATATGGGTAACCTCGAGCGCAACCGAACGAAAGAGCTTGCGAGGAAGAGATCCCGCAAAGGTAAATCACATATCGGCTTTTCATCTCAAAGTCGAGATGATTTTGATACGGGTTACGTAAGGAGAGATGGGGATGCGATGACCGACGAACAACTAGAACAAGAATTGCACCGACATAATTCCCGCTTTTTTCAAGACCAACCGAGGACCATTGACGAAGAAGAGCTCGAGGACGAGGACGACGATGTGGAGGAAGCAATTCCGGAGAGCCACGACGACGACGACGAGGAGGGTGGCGGCAGCCATGACGCCGACCAAGCAGCCTCATCCCAAACAGGTACAAAAAAAAGTAAATCTGAATTAATGGCTAATAATTTTTCTAAGTGGAAGGACCCGAACACCGGGAATTGGACCGCAACTTGCAATTGGTGCAAGAAAAACTATAGCTTGGGGATTTCCGGCGGATACGGATCCGCCACAAGACACCTTAAGTCCAAACACCCGGTGGAGTATGCAAGATTAGGCGGCGGAACGGGGAAGCAAACGCAAATATCGAGGTTTGCAAATAACCAACAAGCTTTTGGTAATTTCTCATACAATGATGCACAAAATTTGACAGGTATGACTAACTTACTTGTTGAAGAAAATTTGCCTTATTTGTTTTCTGAAAGTCTTGCTTTTCGTGATTATGCACAAACTTGTTTAAATCCGCAATATAGAGGTTATAGTCGCAAAACGGTTAAGAAAGAAATTTCAAGACTTTATGGTGCGGAAAAGGTAAGGTTACAAAATTATTTTGCAAACTTTGATGGACGTGTTACTGTATGTTCTGACATATGGGAGGATACTTATCATAATTTACATTATTTGGGTCTGACTGTACATTATATTGATAATGATTGGCATATGCATAAACGTGTTCTTGCTTTCCGTGAATTTAATGATCGTCACACCGCTGAACATATTTATATTTTGATTGAACGTATTTTAATTGAGTATAATTTAATTGATAAGGTGTTTGCTATTGGTTTTGATAATGCTACTAATAATACTGCTGCTATTCCTAGATTGCGTGAATTGTGTGGTTCTACTTCTTTGATGGGTAGATTTTTTCATCAACGATGTGCATGTCATGTTCTAAATTTATGTGTGCAAGATGGTCTAAAAGCGTTGGGAGCATCGTTGGAGGTAGTCAAGGGGGGGATTAGACGTATTTGGGGTAATGGACAACTTAGGAAAAAATGGCATGATTATTTGATAGAAAGAGGTGAGAGATATGTGGCTTTTCCAAAAGATTTGTCTATTCGTTGGAATAGTACCTATAAGTTAATTGGAGTTCTTCTTAGATATAAACAACATTTTCCTGCTTTTATGAAACAATATGATAACTATATTATAAACTCGGCTGAGATCGACACCTGTGAAAAAATTTGTAATGCTTTGATATATTTTAATAATGCAACTGAAACTTTTAGTCATGTTTATAAACCTACCTCAAACCAATTTATTCGTGAAGCTGTTAATCTCGCCGGTGCTTTTTCAAATTTTGAGAATGCTGATTATGTGAGTTATTTTGCTGGTTTTATGAAGGAAAAGTTTTTAAAATATTATTCACATATTCCGCATATTTATGGTATTGCATTTGTTCTCGATCCTCGTTTTAGACTTGGTTCTTTAGAAGAATGTTTGAATTATTATTATGCTGCTTTTTTTGGTCCATTGCCAATGTATGAGGACAATCCAATTGATCCGAAAAAAGAATACAACGAGGTTAGTGATATATTTTATGCATTATTCAATGAGTTTCATGCACAATATGGCAATGCACCCCCTCCCCCGACACAAACATCATCTAAAGGAAAATCAATTTTCAAATCTACGTTTGCCAATCTTATTAAAAAAACAAAATCAACTCCCGCTACACAACAAAGCACAATTAATGAGATTTCTTTGTATTTAACTTATGATGTTGATTTTGAAGAAGATGATGATTTTGACGTACTAAACTGATGGAAGGGAAAAGAAAGAATGTTCCCGATTTTAGCAAAGATGGCTAAGCAAGTGCTATCAATGCCGGTTTCAACGGTTGCCGTGGAACAAGAATTTAGTTCGACCGGCAATGTTCTAACACAAACCAGAACGAGGTTGAGCGTTGAATCTCTTGAGATGCTTATATGCTACCACGAGTGGTTGAAAGCAACACGTAGAGCTCAAGAAATTGACATCACTCCATCCCAACACTTTATGGATGAATCTACAACAGAGGGTGGCTCTACCTATACCGGAGATTCCGATTAAAAACAATTATAGTTCCTATTTAATTTTCAAATGTAGTTCCTATTTCATTTGAAATAAATGCACTTGAAGTTTGTTTTTTAATACTTGTATGAAACTATAAAGTATAAAATATAAATTAAAAAAAAAATTAACCGGCCCAGCCCGGCCCGGCAGGTGGCCCGACCCGTGACCCGGGTGGGTGGCCTGGCCCGAACCGGACCTGTCCAACCCTCGGGCCGGTCCCGGGCCCATGTGATACGAACCGGCGGCCCGACCAGGCCCGACCCGACCCGAATCCATCCCTAGTTAGAGGTGACAGCGAATGGAGTCATTGGAGTGCCACGGAACAGTGAGTAGCAATTTTAGTTTAAAACAAAAAAAGAGGGCAAAGTGCTCTAAGCATGATCTTAGCATGGTTACGTTAATTGAATCTAATGGTTATGGTCGTAATTCTTTCTCATTTTTCACCTAAAATTTCTTCTTATTAGAATCTCACCTACCTATGTGAAATTCAACTAAAAAAAGATGAAAATTGATTATACAAGTGTGCTTAAGGACCAAAATCGTTCAAGGATACATACTAACATACATGTCCTGATATGCATCTAAATATCTAACACCCAAGAATCACACAGAATGTGAGAGCCAATTATAAGTTTATCGAACTTAAAAACTCTTCCCTTCCAATTATCCAAATTAGAGGAAAACAACGCCTTTAATTAGCTCTGCGAACTATAAAGTTTTAACCCATCCATTAAACTTCTTAAAGTAAAATTAGTCACAACATTTTTTTCTTTTACTAACACGAACATGTAGTCAGTAGTCAACCTTGCAAAGTGAGGTAAGCATACATCTAACACAAAAATTGCTAGAAAGTAATAACACATCCAAAATTAGGAAAAATAAATTAGAAACACAGATTAACTTTTCCAAATCTCTTTGGGATGAACACTAAATTTTCCACTTAAACTGGTCTATGACTTCATGCCAGATTCTTTGTAGACAATAAATTGCATACACATGTCTAGGTCTCATCTTCAGTGTCTGATAGCAAGCAGTCCTCTATTTGCTCTCTGAGAAATAAAACATCATGAAAACAGGTCATAACTGAAAAGGCCATCAATCAAACAAGGTATAGGGAAATTTCTCAAAGTAGAAGTAAAAACAAGGTGGTTTCCTTAAATCTGATTACAATGTTTTTCCCAGTGCGGCCATTATGAAATAATATGAAACTCTGTGAAAGCCATGATATGACAATGTGGTTTCACAATGGCAGTACTTATCCTAGTTAGTGAAAAACAAAGTACTACTTGGGATAACTACATTTTTACTCATCTATCTAAGATTCTAAGGCAATTTCTTTAAATTATAAACAAAGTCTTTTTGAAGTGTTGAAAACATTACTTTTAAGTGAGAATTTTCACATGGAAATTAATGGTGTTTTGTTAAATAAATCGGTGAACCCCATATATTAGCATCAGTCTTTTACTCCACTCAAATTTTAGCACCAGCCTTTAAGGATGTTTTTACTTGGACTGTAATTTGCTGGTCTGATCTGAACTGATCTGGTCTGATTTCTTTGTATTTTTATAACTATACAAGTCTGGTCTAAAGAGGAATTACTGTCCAAGTAAAAACATCCTAAAATTCCAAGTTTCTGCATCAAATTTCATAATTCATCAAAGAACATTAAACAATAAAAAACCTCCATTAGGGCCCAAAAGGAAGAATTCTTCGAGGGGAAAATGTGTCAAAAATGTGCACATTCTTTTTCATTTGTAATGGGATAATATAAAAAAGAAACAATAGTAGGTAGTCACAAGATACTACCTCTGTCCCAAAAAACTTTGCCATTTTCAAAACTTTGATCGACTATATCTTTTTATTGAAAATGTTCTTTGCTAAAAGTACTTTCGTAAAAGTATAAATTTATAATTTTCATAATATTATACTAATCAAAATCAATGTTCAAATTTTTTGGAATGGCAAAGTATTTGGGACGGGGTAGTATTATTTACTTAAATTTACTATGTACTTTTTATAAAAAAGGAGAAAAACAAAATTTATGTATGGATTTTGTTGATGAGTTTGATTACATTTTGGCCTAGGTTATCCAAAACGTGATTTTCTTTCGGTGAGACAACAATTTTGTTATGTGATTTCGTAAAATCATGTTTATATTTACTTGTGCAAACATAATTTCTACTATTAACTGATTAGAAGTTATATTGCCCATTTGGTAACCCCTATATTCGGCCTATCAGAAAAGTTTTTTACCAAACATGTAATTATTGATTTTGCACAACAATGAATTGTAATATGATCAAAATAAGTAAGGCTGAATTGGTTGAAATTGCTAAAGATGACAATCTTAGCTATATTCTCATATATTTCTTTCTTAATTTTATTAATCAAATGTATTCAAATATAAAAAAAAACAATTCAGCCAATTCATCCGTTTCAACTAGAATCTCATTAGTTTCAACAAATTGAGTCAATTCAGCAAAATATGTTGTATTGAAGACTTAGGCTAAAGGAGATCAAACTCATAAATACGATCCATACATAGACAATGTGCATCTACTTTGTTTAATAAAAATGAATAAATGATAGACTACTAATCAGGGGCGGAGCCAGGGGTCAGGGTAGTCAGCCGACCCCGCTGAATGTTTGAGAGTATAGAGCTCTGAAATATCTTCGATTTGATATATTATGGCCCCCGTAACTCATTATGAGTAAAAAATTATGACTTCTGGAAAATCAGATTATCTAAACGTAAAATCAGCAAAATTTGATTCATACTATAAATCATTTTTCCAAAATTTTAAAAACATGGTATAATTCACTCATTACTTACGTGACACGACTTAAAAATAGAGCAAAGACAATCTGTTTTATTGCTACCAGTGCCTATTTATCTAAATTGCGTATAAAATATTCAACTCAGACATTGTTTAAAAACGATCCACCATTTTTATTCTGTATATAGGTTGAGTTTTGACCCCCCTGAGCCGTTTTTCTGGCTCCGCCACTGCTACTAATTATTGTTTTTGAAGAAAAAGAAACATGTCCCTTTAAAAATGGAAAATAACTTCAGCTACGTATTTCTTTTGGAAACATATGTTGTGGGGGGAAATCGTCGGAGCCTCATAGAGGTTTTTAAAGGTTCACTTTTTCGTGCTAAAAATGAGAATATTAACAATAGGTACTGAAAACTAAAACAATGTAAAAGATTGGTGCTATAGTGTATGTTTCACCCTTAGTATAAGGTTTAGAGGAATATGTAACATGTGCAGTAACATATGAAGCAGTTGCATATGATAAGATGCATTTAATACTCATTTTAATCCCTATAAATACACTCTATTTGTTAATACCCATATGTGTGAATGTGCCTGGTAATATAACCTTTATTTTTTTGTAGAAATTAATAGGTGTACTAAATGCATCTTATCATATGCATATGTGCAGAAAGTTAATCCAAATGTATATCCACAAAAAAATCCAGTTAGTGAAGGAAGGCAAAAAGAAGTCTTTTTTGAAGAAAATCATAAAATCAAGGAAAGTTGTTCCCATCTCAAATGCAGGGAAATTCAGAAAACCATTCACAGAAATATTTTCCATCAATCAACCAGAGCTAGAGGGGAAACTTTTTTTTTTACCTTAGCAGGAGGCTTTGATTGATAGACCTCGCATCTTTTGCTCGAGAAATTATTGGATCTGGTAGGAGTGAATAAAAAGCGTTCGTAGATGAGATCTCTGCAGGTAAAATCTGAAACCGGCAACTCAGGCAACATAACTCCACAAGATCCATACTGGTTTGAACATTTTCAGAACGTGCCATATTTACTATGTCAGACATTTTGACTGGGCTATTGCAAATAGGACAGAATGACTCTTGCGAAAGCAAAGGATCTGTTTTGAGATTTTGTTTCTTCCGTCTCCTCTGAGATGCTGTTGGACCATAACATTTATCATCTTCTGGAATCCTATTGAAATGAAAAGGGGTAAGCTTTCCGGCCGTTCTTACAATCGTGCTCTCTCTGGACAAATTCTCCTCCTGAAACATTATTTTTACATCTCATAACACCTTGAAGCTAATATATTGCAAGTATCAAAGATTCAAAACCCATACCATGTTTAAGCTTATATTCATTAATGCAAACTACACATTCTTTCCAATGAGTTGATTCCCATTAAAGAATTTTGCTGTTCGAAGACCTTGATTTGACAAGACAATAAAATCTAAAGCATGTATGAAGCCAGAACATAGTGGCACAACTATTAAGTATTCCTTCCGTCTAAAAAAAGGTCATACTTGAGTATGGTACAACTTAGTATTTTAGTCAACTTAATTGACGTACAGGCTTTTACAAGTTAAGAATGACAGCTTATAGTTCGTATACCCTAACTTATTGCAAGGTTGTTTGGAGTAGTTGCCTACAACCACTTGCCGCTTGGCTTTATATGAATTTTACTAAAAAATGAAAGGTATCTTAAAACCAAGATTTTCTTAGGACAACATAAGTTATAGACAGGCGACTTTTTCTTTCGGGAGAGTATTAACATTTCACATGCTTTCCTTTATATGCAAACATGTAAATTAAGCTCGCTAAATCACATATTGACCGCCTATAGAGCATAAAGAAACATCTCTCAGTTCTTGAACTAGATTAGGATACTCAAAGTTGTTAATCAACCCCAAACAACGTTTAGATCATTGATGACTCAACTTGCTAGTACGCCTTGAGTACTTTTTAATAATGCATTTGACTTAGTGTTAACGAGTATGCTTTTTACCTGCAATAATTTCACAAATGAGGAGACTAGACCATTGATGCCTGAACGTGGACGGTCAAACAATTCCACTGTCTTTAAACTGCCCTGCCAAAATGTATTACTTCCATTATGGAGTAATAATTTACACAAGCAGAATAGTGGAAGATAATTCATCTATCAGCACATGACAAAAGTTTCAATGGAATAGTACACGGAATTTAAAAGGAGAAAAATAGTTATAATGTCATAAGCATTATTATGTTAGCAAACCTTTCCAGGCAGCACAGCAAATCTATCTCATGAGAAAAGCAATCGCGTAGGGGGGACAGTACTGGAACTTCCCACCTTGCATCAACATACTGGATATCCGCAGCTAAAGAGTAACCTTTTCCCTGGCAGAAGATAATAGCAATGCATCAACTTTTAGCTCTTGTGTGATTTGAAAGGAACTGCAAGATGAAAAAGTATTACGGTATTCAGATAAATATACTTTTAGCTCTGTAGCTAAACCATTCCTCTTTTCTCCTCTTCCCAGCAAAACAAGCTCTAAAGTTTTAATCAGACAATAAGGCTATTGATACCAAATTATCCTCACAATGACCCTTGACCCGATTACAAATTGAGGCATCCAAGTTATATATACACATGTCTGTGTGCACAAGAAGTTACTGGTGGTGGTGGTGTTATTAATATTTTTTATTTTCATTGTTTATCTGCAAACAATTGAAGTGAGTGATACTAGAATTTTGATGCTGACAAAGCAAGCACTTCTCATTCATAAGCACCTCTTATTCACTTCTCCAATAAAGACTTAAGGATGGACCAATTTCAAGGTGACAGTGTGTCACCATAGAATTCTGCATCCAGAACTCGCGAAATATAGGGTTTAATATTCCATGAAATCATATTGCATTCCATAAGCTCCAGGAGGATATATAGGGGAAAACTTTCACTCATTGTTATTCTATAAAGCTGTCTCAGCAATAATTTGCAGGGATCAATCATGGAAACTAGAACACATAAATAAGAAGGCATGCATTCACCAAAAATTGTTTTTACTTGTTTTTTTTTTTTAAATAAACATAGTGAAATACAGCTCGGGAAGTAAGTCAGATAAGACTGTTAGAAGAGCAGAGTTTTATTAAATTCTGAAACACAAACCTTGACAGTTGCTTCAAGCACATGACAAGCAATCCTTGATGTGCACTTTCCTAGCACAATTTTGGTATATCCATTTTCAATAGCAATCTGTGTAAAAAAAACATCTTAGTTTAGATCATAGTAATCTCTTTGCAACATAATAAAGATCTAAAAGTGTATAATCTAAATAGCTTTTCAGGACAACCTTTTGCAAGGCCAACATACGCATATGCTCCAAGAGATCTTCTTTTCCTGTCGTATCAGTAATGACATCAATCAACTTTTTCAGCCGCTCTCTTCCATCAGCAGGTTTTAATGAGTAAACAGACTCAGTAGGGACAACATGGAACTGTTTCAGTGGTGGGGGAAGATTTGAAATGATCAGTTTCATATGTTCAATTGCTTTATCAAATTCGTGATGAGGGATTGCCGAGACTGATTGTTCATCAACAAAGGCAACCCCAACACCAAAAACGGGTAATGCTCGGTCCCTACTGGCTTCAAAGTTCTTCTGAGCTTTATCCTGCATCTCACTTACAAAGTGAAGAGCCACTCTGGAAGTAAAATCTATTAAATTGGGCATCATTAAAGTAATAAGAAATAAAGCTCACCTAGCTATTAATAAGGTAAACGGATAACTAACATGTACATTAACAAGTTATAGTTCATAAATTGATAAGAACTTGTGATCGATACAAATCTAAACTACCAAGTTGGTAAACGAACTGTCAAAACAGTCATATAGTTATACTAGGGATTACTAGCAACATGCAAAGTCATGTAGCGCCGACTGTTTCATATATGATATGCACAAATGAAGATTGGTTGGTTAAATCATTTTGCTTCTTGAAAACAGGGTTTTAAAAAAGCCACAACTGACCAATGCCTGAGTGGTTTACTGATATCAGTTCAGGGTTAGGATTTTAAAAATATAAGTCAATGAAAAGGACTCAGTTAAGTGTTCAAATCCTTGCTTCAATGATCCTTACATAATACCAATTAAAAAAACAAAAAGGACACAACTTGGAAATTCAAGGAAAAGAGGTTTTATTCCCTCGTATAATCGTGTCTTCTCTAAACAAAAGTATTTTCACAAGGGAAAAACAATAGAAAACGAGTTGAATCATAGAAGCAGTGAAGCACTAAAGTAATATTTACCCATAAAATGGTTTATCTTGTTGAATATAAGTATCTAACTTATACTCCCTCCGTCCTGGAAAATTAGTCCCATTTTCCTTTTTGGGATGTCCCAAAAAATTTGTCCACTTACTAAATAAGGAAAGGTTTTTTTAATTAAAAACCCATTTTACCCCTCCTTATTCTTTACCCTCCCACCCTTATCCTGATCCTTACCCTCCCACTCTCTCACCTTCTGTCGTTACCACTTCCGCAGCACCATTCCCACCCACTTTCCTCTCACTCCTTCATTACTCCACTTCCGCAGCACCATTCCCACCTCTCTCTTACACTATTCCGGCCATTTGTCCTCCCTTTCTTGCACTCTTCAGTTCGTTGAACTTTATTTCCTTCTCCGATTTCATTTCCAGTTTAACCCTAGGTTATCTGTTGATCTAACCGTCTGTCCTAAAATCAAATCCCTAAATCCGATTACCATGGAAGATCTACCTGCATGCAATGAATGCATGGCGGATCTTATGGTTCCGGATAGCGTTTTGGAGTCCCAGATCGAAGACAGTGAAGGTCCGGATAAGCCTATGGTTCCGAACAGTGAAGATGTGTCAGAGGAGGTGGACGGTGGAGGTATGATGACCTTATTGGTTCCGGACAGTGAAGAGGAGGCAGAGGAGGAGGTCGGTGGAGGTGCGGTGGAGGTTCAGCTTCCGAACAGTGATGCTTGGGCTAAAATAAAGAAGGATGTTCGAATACAGTACATTCGTTATCCTGGTCTAGAGGACTTCTTAAAACTCATCCTACCCGGTTGGGAATCGAGGATGTGGGACGTTGACGCCTAACAGGGGGAGTTCGTTTCTTTATCTGTTTTGCATTGCAAATCTGTATGTTGGTATTGTTTCGGAAATTTGTGTTACATGTATGTTGTGTGTGTACATGTGTTTGATTCTGGGGCAGCAATGATGATTATATGGTGTTCTTATATGTATGACGGAATGGTAAGGGTTATGTGAGGCTGCTATGATGACCTTATTGGTCTGAGCTTTGTTGCCTGCTATGATGACCTTATTGGTCTGAGCTTTGTTGCCTGCTATGATGACCTTATTGGTCTGAGCTTTGTTGGTTGCTTTGTTGCCTGTTACAATGACCTTATTGGTCTGAGCTTTGTTGGTGTCTATGAGGCTGCTATGATGACCTTATTGGTCTAAACATTGTTTTGTGTGAGGCTGCTATGATGACAATATAGTCTGAGCATTGATTTGTCTGAGGCTGCTATACTGAATAAGAGAGCCATAAGGCTTGAGAAAGGTGTCTGTTATGCTACAACAGTATAGGCCTCTAAACATTCCAAATTTCTTAGGCCTCCACAAAATTACAAAAATATAGGCCTCCACAAAATTACAAAAATATAGGCCTCTATAGTATGACAAAAAAAGGCATTTACAAAAATACAAAAAACATGCCTTCAGAACTAATGGATTGAGTTCATTAGTGAAGATGACTTAGTTCTCATCATCTTCATGGATGAACTGGACATTAGTAGCCTGTTGTTGGGATAAAACAGCTTATGTGGCTTCTAGTAACTCCACATCAACCTCTATGCTTGTTGGTAGTCTGCCTTCTGTGATCATTCTGTCCTTTGCATGGTGTGGCAGCTTGTAGTTGTTCCCCCCTCCACTTTCATAATCTCTAACATCACATATTGGTAGCTTAACCAAACCTTGTTTAGAGTGGTGGGTGAAAGATGGTAGAATGCTTCATCTACTGCCTTTAACAGTTCATCCACATTCTTAGGTGCTTGTTGGTCTTTCAAAGACTGAATTGCCCTAAAGAACCCAAGATCTAGTATGTTAAGATCAAGAGAATTAGGGGGCTGGTTAATTAGGGTAATATTAAACCCATCTGCTTTTGAGACAGCCATAAAGTATGGGTCTGAATCTAGGATGTGTGGCCTTGCATTATCTTGTTGGATTACAATGTCCTTACTTAACTGTTCTGGCCATCTTTCCTTGATGCTAGGCAGCACATTTTTTATAAGCATGTCCTTAAACACTGCTTTTGTTATGCTCAGTACAGGTTTGGTTTCCATTACCCCTGCATCCCTGTTCTTGCTTTTCCTTTTAGCAGCCACTTTCTCAATGAATGGGAAAATGCCTATTTTACCATCCCATATTACTTCTCCATTATCTGCAAACAAAGGCCTCCCCACTGCTCCTAGTGACATGACCTTGGTTATGAATCTTTTAGACTTGCATACCCTATGTGGATCCATTTCTTCTTGTCCCATGTAGTATCTTTGAGATGTTTTTGACAAGAAAAACCATTTCTCATCAATGTGTATCACATTATGGAAATTTTTAAATACTGGATTTCCTGGAATTGATTTGTCTATTTGTCTGGAACAGAACATCAATCTGTGAATTTTATTTGCATCACTTAGCAAAGGCTTAATAGCATTTGTATGGCTTCTAAGCACACCTCTCTGAACCAATCTGTGAATACTTGACTTTGAAACTGAACTGGCCGAAGCAAGTGCCCTTATGTTAGTCCTTTTGTGAAGTGGGATTTGTGAAATGTTGGTTACATCAAACAACACACTTTTTCTACCTGAGTTTCCCATCCACTTGGTTTTGACATCTATTGCTTCCCCCTTTTGAATCTGCTCTTTGGCTTTGGTCCAGATCCTGAAAATAGTTTTTCTGGTCACTGAATATTTAGTGGCAAGCTCATTTAGAACACCATGCTGAGCTATCACCTCCCCAGAATATGTTCTTGTTGCACTGATTAGAATTTCATCAACTATACTCTCTCGTTCACAGTTTTGTAGTCTTCTTGCTTTGATATTTGAGCTTTGGCCGTTTGTTGGTGTGTGCAGGCCTTCATTTATGGCAGTTGGTGAGGAAGGACCATTCACTGCACCTGAAGACAACTCTTCATTAGTGGAAGCTGCAGTAGGGGAAGAAGCTGTCTGGGCGCCACTGTTGTTTGCGGCCATTAATGTTGCGTGAAGTGTGTGATAGTGTGTAGTGAATTTTTGGGAGGGAGGGAACATTTGGAATGTGTATTTATAGATAGGGTTAATTTAGAAGCTTTCCAAAAAAAAAGAGGGAACTTTAGGGGGGAAAGAGGTGTAGTACGAATGTGTACTGTTATGAACAGTGTAAAGCATTTTGGGTGCAGTAACCCCCCCCCCCCCCCCGCCGCAATTCCTTTATTTTGGGTCCAGTAAACGCTTTGGGAAAGTCAAAGCATTTTATAACTTTTCTTAAAATCTGATCCAAGTCAAAATGGGACTAATTTTCCGGGACGGAGGAAAACTTTGAGTAATTTTCTGGGTGAGCATTCTCTCTTCCTTATTGTTTTGAAGCAAAACAGAGCTGAGACGTACACTTTTTTAAACACTCCCCATTTAATTTCATGAACGAAACAAGCCATCAAAGCTAAGACCATTCACAAAGCTAAGACCTTAAGCGCATCCCAAACTCCCAAAGGCATTACTTTTTCATTCCTCGAATTTAGCGAAGCTATAAACCAGAACTAAGCTGAAAACTCAGATAGGCTAAAAACAATACAAATACAACTATAAAATTATACTCCCTCCGATCCCTATTAAAGTTCCTAGTTTGACTTTACTGTGGAGTGCACTGTTCGACGCTGTTTGGACACTGTTTGACGCTGTTTTACATCGTTCAAACACTGTTTGTCACTGTTTTGCACTGTTTTGTTTCCTACAATGGAAGTGTGAACTTAAATAAGTGAGAACTTTAATAAGTACCGGAGGTAGTACTTGGTTTACTTAATCAAATTATAGTTATAGCCATCCACAACTTAAAGTCTTCTACCCTTCTTAAACCCAGCAAAGAAAGTTGGAGACCATCTAAATCAGCACACGCACATCCGCACACTAATTGAAGTACAGATGTATGTAAGCAGACCTAAAGAGTGAGATACCTGGAAGAGGGGCCGCCGGAGAAGGCTACAAGGACGTTATCGGCAGGCGAGATCATATCATTGGAGGTAACAGAAAACCTGAACTTCCAATATAGATTACTTTTGAAACAATCAGCACAGAACCTACCCCCATCTCCTCTAATACCTGCGCCAACGCCACTTGCAGCGATTGTTTCATTAATTTTACATTTTACGCAGATGCGGTTGCGAGACGGCTCGGTGCTGTTTGAAACCGGCGCGTCTCCGTTACAATCAGTCGTCGGCCGACTCTGGTGTTCTTTCTCTCCATCTTCGCTGTAGGCGTCGCACCCGGACTTGCAAGCTGCTGAGTTGCACGCCATATTGTTTTGCTGAGATCGCTGAAGCACGTTGGGTTCATAAAAAATGATATGTGTACGATGGAGTGTAAAATGATACTTTTACACCTGTTTTTTTGTAATTAAGAGAAAGTGTGATGCTAATAAATAGGTTAATGCTTCTTTTTTTTTTCCTTCCGCTACCTTCCACTTTTCTTTCTTTTCTTTCGCGGTCTTACACTTTTCCTTCTTTTCTTCCGCCACCTTCCCCATTTCCTTTCTTTCTTCCGCCGTCATCAATTCTTGTTTACTTTTTGTTTTTTTTGTTTTTTTTATTTTCTTTACTTTTTTTTAGTGGTTCTGATTGTTAGGTTTTTTGTCTTTTTTTTTATTTTCTTTACTTTTTTTAGTGGTTGATTTCACTTTCTTTGGGTTTGTCTTTTTCTTTTACTTTCTTTACTTATTTTCTTTGTTTTTTTACTTCTTTTCCTTTCTTTATTTGTTTTACCTCTTTCTCTTTTTCATATATTATACCGAGCACATTAGAAATGAGTTTTACCTTAAACTGAAATGAGTAAAACGCTTAAAAAATATAATGAACATACACAAATGAACTTTTCAATTTTTGAATACTCATTTTGTAAATTATGTATGTGCATTTAGTATCTCTCTTATGCTCATTTTTAAAATGTTTTAGCAATGCACATTTCAAAAGTCTCATATTACATTACATTTATATAAGAGTTGATTATAAACACGAGACGACAAATCATGATACTCAATCACATATTCTAATACTCAATAACGGAGGCTTGATGGTCACTGAAAGTGAATTAGAAGTTATGAAGCAGAAATCACGATGCTCAATATTAGACTCTTAATACTCAATAGAATAGGTCGGATGCTCATTAAAAGTCCATTAATACTCATTTTACATAAACTGTGATTTTCATATCGAGATATGAGTTTTGATGCTCAATGAAAATGTCGTGATGTTCAACTAACAAACTTTACGATTTTCTTATCAATGCGCATTTCGTAAGTTACATATGCTTATTTGGTATGATGTTATGCTCATTTTTAAAATGTTGTGTCAATGTATATTTCAAAAGTATCATATGACATTATACTATCATATTGAAATTAATAAGAGTGTATTATAGATATAATTTAATAATTTCTTATAAAAGAAAAAATAAGAATAAGAAAAAAAAATTAGAAGTTATGAAGCAGGGATCGTGAAACTCATTGTTAGCCTCTTACATACTCAAAAAGATAGGTCAGATGCTCATTACAATTACATTATTGCTCATTTAGCGGAAGCCGTGAATTTTCGCTTAAATTACAAATATGCCACCGATTTTTTTTTACCTGTATTAATGATTGGGCCGTCTTTCTTACTTGGGCCGGGTGTACGTACACCCGGATGCACTATATACGAACTCCTCTTGAGAATGTTTTTACTTAATTTAGTGCAATGGTTTGGTCTAGTCTGGTCTGGTCTGGTTTCTTTGTATTTTTATAATTATCCAAGTCTGGTCTTGTTTGAATTGGTCTTGTCTGGTCTGATCTGGTCTGGTATGAGAGAAATTAAAGTCCAAGTAAAAACATCTTTATACTCACCCATGTTTGTGAAAGTTTTATTTTGTCCGTGAACATCGATTCACAGACAATATTTTGCACAAACAAAACATTGGGTTCACAGACAAAAAAACTTCACAAACATGATGGGTATAAGGGTGGGTACATCAAGCATTGTTGTGGGTTTATTTACGGGGAAATTGGGTTTAGACTAAACACTCATCAAACAATTTAGAAAAAAATCCTTTATTTACTTTCAATCTATCTAGATTTAGACCGTGACCATTTGCCCCCTCACCACATGTGTTGGTCCCGGTTATACTGGATACAGTCTAGAGGGGGGGTGAATAGACTGTATTGGTTTTTAGCTTTTTAAACTAAGTACCAGATTTTACAGAATAGCCTGTTCTGTTGACATAACAGACTGGCAGCGGATGGGGTTCTGGTAGGGTGTTATGTTGATTTAGCCTCAGAGAAGCAAGGACAGTAGGCCTTCTGTTAACTCGTAGGACAAGTTCTGCTGAACACAGATACCGAGTCTAAGGAGTTAGACAGTTCTATCTAAGTGCAGAAATTAAAGCAGTAAGTAAATGACACCAGGGATTTTTATAGTGGTTCAAGGAACAACTTGTTCCTCTAGTCCACTGTTCCACTAAGCTGTAAAAACTTCCGTTTACAAAACCTTAGTCCTAGCACTTAAGAAGCACTCCACGTCTTCTTCAAGCCTAGATGTCTCCTGGGATGCACTTCCTAGCTTCCTTTAAGACTGGTCCTTTCACTGAGCTTCCTGGAAGTATCACCACTTCACTACTCAAGTTACTTGGACGTCCTTCTTGTAGCAAGAAGAGTTTCTGTTAACACAGGGGTTCCTCCAACTAGCTTCGTTACAAAAGATTTGTATGTGATGAGCTTGAAGAGTTGAAGAACACTTGGAACTTTGCTTGAGTTGGAAAAAGTATTTTTCCAACTTCTGCCTTCTCTTGTAGAAGATGATGAATGTTTATCTCAAGGAGGCTTTTTGCTTTTCAGAGTTTGAATATCTTGTATGAAGAGTTGTAGCAATGGTTAGCAAAAATTGCAAAGTTATCTGGTTGTTCTTCGTAGTGTATCTTTTATACTGAGGTTGTCTTCCCGTTGGAGGAGTAGGAGGACAACTGCATTAAATGAGCGATCAGTTGACTTGACTAGTAGAGCCCGGTAAAGTTGGCGGGTTACTATTTTGGGATAAAGTATTCCTGACATTGCGGCCAATCATCTGCAATTACTCTACGGAGCATGGGGTGCATTAAATGAGCATTTAATGTGTGCACTGTAGCTATTCCGTTTTATACTCCTAGCCGTTGAGGGAATCTTTTAGTTGACTTCCCGGTTTTGTGGATTTCTTCTAAGTGTCAGACCTTCTGGTGTCTTTAACTGAGTGTAGAACAGAGGAGGTCTGGAGAACTTCTGTTGAGAGTATATCCAACAGAGACCCAGAAGGGTTTCTGTCAGAGTAAAGACTAACAGAGACCCTCAGGTCTTCTGTTCTGAAGCAGAGAACCAAAGGTCCTCTGTTTCAATAAAGTCTTAAGAGGGTCTTCTGCTCTTGGAGCCCTTCTGCTCAGAAGGTCTTCTGCTCTGAAGGCATTCTGCCAAGTCGAATACTCTAAGAACTTTACAAATGAAAATTCTAATACATCAAGTCTAAGAAGGGGTACTCTACAGTCCTAATTAATCTAGCATCATCAAAATCTAAATACAAATATTCCTTACAACATGTCGTCTTTCAGGCTAAAACTCCGACAATTTTAATTAAACCAGTAAAAGGTAGAGGTTACTTGAGTCATTTAATATCGTTCTGATTCTCCACAGGACCAGTGAATGGAGTACATGTTTCTATAACATATCAAACATCTATTAACCATTCTCCACAAGACTCTTATTCTGATGCTGTCAAGTGGACAAAATTTTGTGTGAAGCCTGATACGAAAAGTCCAACCTTTAAGTTGGGTATGACCTTTTCCACCAAGAACAAATTCAAGGAAGCTATCCAAAATCATGCATTTAAGATGTGTAAAGAGCTGAAGGCATTCTGCCAAGTCGAATACTCTAAGAACTTTACAAATGAAAATTCTAATACATTAAGTCTAAGAAGGGGTACTCTACAGTCCTAATTAATCTAGCATCATCAAAATCTAAATACAAATATTCCTTACAATTTCCCCCTTTTTGATGATGCCAAAACCCTTTAACTATTTCCAGAGAAGTGCCTTCACCATAAAGAAAGATTAAAGTTTAAAAACTTCCATTAAAATCTTGGTGGGCAACTTGGCATAGGAAAATAGTAAGAGTACAGTACAATCAGATAGCAGAATATAAAAGAAATAAACACACACAAGCAGAAGGCAAAAAGACAGGAATTGAGGAAAAGCACTTCAAAGTAAGAAGGCATAGATGTGATTTTATTAGATAAATTTTACAGAGTTAAACCTTACACATTCTCCAGATTAGCTGCTTGCAAAGCTTCTTCCTCCAGTCTTTGAAGCCTGAGCAGTTCTTCATTTATTTCAGCTCTGATTTTGAAGAGGTTGCCAGAGCTTTGATAAGATGCCCAAATTGGAGAAAGCTTGCAGTCCAAATAGTTGAGAACACCTTCATGTATTGTCTTCCCTGGGACAATGTTCTTCTTATACCATTCTTCAGCTTCTTCTAATGATCCCCCATACCTAACTCTCACAACACCATCTTTGTCCAGATAGAGGTGCTGTTGTTGGGTGGGAGTCATTTTGGCCTTCATCTCTTCAAATTGAGCTCTGTCAATTTTCTGAGATCCACCCAATCTCCATTCTGTGAAGTTAAAAACTTTCTTTTTCTTTGTGCCTTTCTTTACTGAAGATGGGGGTCTGGGTATGCCTGCTGCTCTCTTCTTCTGTAGGGCAGCTTCAAAATAGGGAGCCGGATCCACTGCAGGCTCAACAGAGGAGGGTACCCTAGTAGGAGTTCTGTGGGACCTAGGCCTGGTCTGTTGAGGGTCCTCTTCCCCCTTTTTGGCATCATGCAGATCTTCAATCATAAGGCTTATCTTCTGGAATTCTGAGGCCTGAGTGGAGGCTATCTGCTCTAGGGCCTCTGGTAGAGTTTGAGTGACAGAGGTCAGGCCTTCAATGAGACCTTGCTGCTTCTGTATGGCAGAGAAGATGTCTTTGTTATTGGCTTCAAGGAGCACCATCTTCTGATATCGGTCTCTGTCAGTAGACAGGAGAGCTTGAGCCTGTTCTTGATGAGCTCTGCACATTTGCTCAATAGAGGTCAGTTGCCTCTCTGTTCTGGCATCAGATGTCTTCAGAGCCTCAAGAAGCTCTGAGATAGTGTGGATTGCTTGTCCTTGACTTAGGAGAGTCTGTTGAAAGAGAGAGAGTGTTTTGTGGATGCCTACCACTTCTGTTGATAGAACTTCTGTTCTGGCAGATGAGGAGGCTATAAAGTTGTTGAGTGTTCCTGTGAGGTTCTCAAAACGATCAGAGACGAACTGCATTCCTGAATTGAGATTGTCATTCACATGAGCA